TCTAGCGTAAACAGCTTTAAACCGTGGTTACCAGTGGTTTCTACAATGTAGTAATACTGAAATGTTTTACAGAGAACCGCAGTGAATGCTTTTCATATAAGGGAAGATTTAAGATGTAATTATCATTGTATATTTCTATAAATAAGTTGGAAACTTGCAATCTCGAGGCAATCATACTGTCATCGCTCTCTAGCGTAAACAGCTTTAAACCGNTTGTATGAAAATAAATAAAAGTAAAACAAAAATACTGGTATGCAAGGGAAGAAAAAGTAGGGATAAAGCGAATATAAAGATAGGAGACGAAAAATTAGAGTAAGTGGCTGATTTTCGGTATCTAGCAAGTCAGATAAGTCAGGACGGAAGGAGCAGTAGAGATATAAAGCAGAGGATAAGTGAAAGAAGTCACTTCCATGCTCTCCAACGATTAGTTTAAAAGTTCTAAAAAGATTGTCAAACGTTTATGCTTGAAGTGCGGCGCTGTACGGGTGCGAAACATGGACGGTGGACGCGGTAGAAAAGACAAGGATAGAAGCGCTCGAAATGTGGTTACAAACGAATGATGAGGATACCGTCGATAGAGAAGGTTAGAAATAAAATGGTATTAGAAAGAATAAAACAGAGGACTCTGTGGAAGTCAATAAGACATAGACGAGATTGGTAGGTTACCTTCTCAGACATGAAGGGCTAGTCAGACATACTAGGGGAAGAAACAGGAGTTAAGATGAGAGTATAGAGGTAGACCTAGATTAAATGTTCTAGTTTTAGAGAAATGCGAAGATTAGTTCAGGATAGGAAAGAGTAGAGGTGCATGTCCAACCAGTAGTAGGACTGACGACCTTACAATGATGTCACTATTCCTCTAAGTAGTTTTTTTCCAGTAATTGTTATTCATTATTTTTTAATACAAAGCTCTTTTTTTAATATCCTTATATGGATATGTAAGTACCATCTTTCGGAAGGTATTGAATATTAAATTTGATGATTTTCAACACATAAACATATAAATCAGTAGGATATATAGATCTAAAATCAATATCAAATCATACACCATGACTCCTCAATGTTTGGTCTTGGTCCGATAATTCCTGTTCAACTACAAACCCCTTACTTTGTTATTTTTAAACCAGTTGCAACTTTGATGTTTCCATAAATTTAAATAATCCGTCAAGCCGTTTCTCATCAACAACGTATTTACTAGATAATCCTAAAGGAGCGTGATGATCATTGATTAGTCTATGGATCAATCGTGTGATAGCAGTCGACTGAAACGTGTCATGATATGGTCATAATAACCGCATTTACGAACTAAATACCCGGTAACCCGGTTGACTGCTACCCCTGAGAGGTTATGGAACATTTATTGTAAACCAAACTTTAAAAGGTAGAATAACAAGATCGTCTTATGCTTATTACAAATATTTTATTTATGACTGGGTACAGAAATACAAGATTTCTCAGTTTTATCCCTTTGAAATTAATACTCCCGTGACTCTATGCCTTTCATTTTGGGTCACTTGCTGTATGTGTACAAAGACATAGGGTAACTGCAGATTTTAGTTTTTAAAAACTATTTTACAATAAGTAATCAAGAAGATATGTTCTTTTGGGACGATATCGACATCAATAAGACAAAAATATCGGTGGTATTGATCTTGCTAATAGGTGGACAAATGTCTAGAATTAGATTAACTAAAGGTCTGCCTTAAAGTGCATACTTGCTTAATAGTGATTTGATATCGGCTGCCTTCATTTTTATTAGGAATAAAAGTGTCACTTGAGGACAAATCGTGAATTACGAACTGTAGAAATGAATAAGTAACTGCCCCACGTATGTGCATAAAAATCATTTAAAGTATCACTACTTTAATAGCCTATTAACAAACTAATGGTGGCGTCAATAAGATAATCTGCTTTGAGTTTGAAAATACCCACAATTCAATAAATGGATTTATAAATTTATTGATTGCAAAGGTGTTTGCTTTTCGAGAAGATTCGCTGGCAGAATGAATTCACATAAAAGTTCATTTATTATGGATAAGATTTTCCCGAATATGCCATTTTCATATAACAAACCAAAACTAATTTTTTTTAATTTTGAGGTAATTCTTATAAAAATTTGCACATAATTGTTTATGAATTCTCTAATTGAAAACGACATTTTGTTGAAACTTAATGAATCGCTTCACTACAATATTATGTGTATAGGACTTTCCACGTGTTAGAATCGTCCAAATAATTAATAAACAATTATTATTATGATGTGATCGTAGTTTCTCAATCATTTTACACATTATCACCCCTGTATTATACAACGAATCCGCATTCTGCACATTCGATGTCTTATCTCTACTGGAGAAATTCTTCTTCACCAGCAAAGCGAAGTTACCACCACTAAATTTTTATTTCTTTAAATAGACTTTAATTAAATTCAAATTGCTTTTCCAAATATAAATTTACCTTCACTATACCTTAATAAGCTGCATACAGTAATTCATTGAGTAGGTATTAAAAATTTTATTAAAACAAAAGTTTTTTAATCAGTAAGACATCTTTTCCTAATCATTTGTCCATGGAAGCGCAAAACTCTTTCGATGTAGGTATATGTATAATTATATAAATTATAGGGATGCACCCAATAGTAATTTTTCCAATATCGGATTCTGGATAATTGCGTACCCGGCAAAGCCACTACGGTTAATGGTTCATGTCTTTGTTCTGGGGGTCTTTCCATTAAATACCATCCTCACCAACGTCCTAAACCATATTACGTCCCATTGAAAAAGTCGTTTAAACATTAAAACAAAGAAATTTTAATTGACGGTCGGTGAATTTTCAAGGAGATGAAACCATTGAAACATGCATATAATTAGAGGCTTCTACAAAACCACTACGGTTAATGGTTCATGTCTTCGTTCGGCCGGGATTTTCATTAAACACTACCCTCATCGACATTCCAAACCACATTAAGTCTAGTTAAAAAGGTCATTTAAACACTAAACCAATGAAATTTTAATTCTTGGTTGGCGGATTTCAACAAGGGGGTTGAAATGAGACCGTTGAAACGAGTCTATAATGTTATAATCCTTAATAGTCTGCAGTCATACTAACAAGTTATCGTTAATCAAAACCTACCATACCAACAAGCGATTAGTAGAGTAATCAATAAATAATACAAATTAAGATAAGTGCCCTATCCAATACAGTCTACAATATTAATTACCCATTTTCATTAGGTAGGCTTTCGTTATAGTTATTAAATTATTATTGCTGCTGCTTGCTTTTTATTTTTTCTCTGGTAGAATTAATTACCTGGCACTGCCGCGTACCCGACGTCATTATTCGGTACCCGGTCGGGTCCTAAAAATAGTACTGAATCCAAGCCGGGTACCCGGACCATCCCTACTTATGAGGTGTACATACTCTAATAGTCTGGGAAGTGGCAAAATCATACTAAAAAGTTATCTTCAATCAACCACCCATTTTGTTACTGAGAAAATAAGTAATCTTAGGCTGTGAAAGGTCATTTAATGGGCAACTTTTTGACCTATTATACTTTAAAAAGTCGATTTTAAATAAAATTAAAATTTCTTCACCTCATAATCAGACTGCGAAAAGTTACAATTTTTAATTTCGCGTCTTTACGTACTGTTAGACTGTTAAGAGTATTACATGAGCATTTTCTCTCATGTGTATGAGTGCAATGCCAAGGACGTCGTAGTAACGTGGTGTGCGATTTACCTACTATCCCACTGCTCCGATGGCGAATGGAGAAAAAATTAATTCATAATAATTGATCAACGCTGCCGGCTATCATTTGCATAAGTGCACTCCAGGCTGCATCAATATGTATAAATATGATCACGTATCTACGTGACTGTATAGAAATATACATGTCGAGTCGGATACTTTGTACCGGCAAAAAAGAAACCGGTTACGAATCCCTCAGCATCTCAATCACGTCCGCTTATTATTATTTATTTTTTTTTTGTTCACACCCAGTTAAATCAATAAAACTGGCAATTAAATCGATCAATAAACGTAGGTACTGTAATAACACTGGGTTTACGCCATCCCATCCTAACTAATATTATATATGCAAATGTGAGTTTGTTTGTTTGTCGGCTTTTCACTCCTTAATTACTCACCTGATCATCATGTATTGTCAGGGGTACAGAAAAGGACATAGGACGCAAAATACTGTTCCCGAGGGATAGAAAAATTAGTTCTATGTGGTCGTTGATAATCTTTGACACTTATTTAGGACATCAAATCCAATCCAAAAGTACCTAATGATTCACAATTAACTTCTAATTTTGTATGCTGCATTACATGCATTCTTGCTAATTGTTTTTAATGATGAAAGACATTATGATAGATAGAATGCCGTATAAATTTCGCCAAAATTTTACTGCCTTGACGATCGTTTTGTCACTTTGTGGCTTCTTCAGAAGATACACAAGAGCAAGGTAATAAATGTTTGTTGAACTTTTAAAAACAGCTATATTTATACGGTATTTAATATAATGAATTTTCGACAAGTAAAAGGAGAATCAATCAATTATTAAGATAGAATGCCCACTTTATGTTGGTAACTATTTTGTTCGGAAGTAATCTCTTAATAATGTCAGGTGTTTACAAAGAATCTGAATAATATTAATTCACTCGTGAAGATATTGCCTACCAAAAATTTGATTTTCTAACGTCTTTTTATGCAAAATTAACTGCGTGGCGTTTGAGTTTTCGGGAGATCCGTATAAAAAACAATTAAACAAAAACTATGAAAATGAGAATGTGTTTAGAGGTGTAGATTTTTAGTAGATATTAGTCGACATACATTAGGGAAGAAAGCAGGACATTCTCTACCGAACGTGAATTACCACCTGAACTGAGGTGAGCGCGGTAAATACTTGAGAGGACCGTATACGGCTTTTTACCGTACAACCATGTCACGAAACCAGAAAGTACAATTTAAAATACTTATAATAAGAATATTTTGCGCGTTAATCCCTGAAACCAGGGAAAAACATCGTACTTTAGGTGGGGACATGGTAAAAAAGTAATCACCGTTGTATTGTTTTTATAAATAACTAAGAAAGTTACGCTCCTCGAAGTAATCAGACTCTCAATGCTCTCTAGCGTAAACAGCGGTTACCAGTGGTTTCTACAAGTTAGTTTAGTAACACTGAGATGTTTTACAGAAAACCGCAGAGAATGTTTTTCATATAAATGAAGATATAAAAAGTAATCATCATTGTATATTTTTTAAATAAGTTAGAAACCTGCACTCCCGAGACAATTATACTCCCAATGCTCTCTAACGTAAACAGTATTAAACTGTGGTTACTAGTGGTTTCTACAATGTAGTAATACTGAAATGTTTTACAGGAAAACCGCAGAGAATGCTTCACTATATAGTATAAAACAAAGTCGCTTCCCGCTGTCTGTCCGTATGTATGCTTAGATCTTTAAAACCACGCAACGGATTTTAATGCGTTTTTTTTTTAATAGATAGAGTGATTCAAGAGGAAGGTTTATATGTATAATACATGCATAATATAGTAGAAAAACACTGATAATTTTAGAGGTAAGTGATGTGGTAAATAAACACCTTTTTTTGGGCTTACATTGCAAACGTTGGCTGAACCCTACGAGGTAGATCAAAATAATGTACTACAGTATTGTACACTTTGAAAAGGTGTACAAAAAATTCCGTGATGGTATATGTCTATCTCTTAGGGATAACCCACAATAACCATTTTTTATCCTTTACTTTTTACGAGAAATAATGGCTAATTTACGAAGCGATTTTAAACAATACAGCATTAATCCTTATCCAATTAAGTACTTTTAAATACATTGTGCATTTAATATAGATCAATATGGCCCTTTACAGCATGTAATTTAAATGAATATTTTCGAAGATATTACAGA